TCTCTCTCTCTCTCTCTCTCTCTCTCTCTCTCTCTCTCTCTCTCTCTGTGTGTGTCAGTGTTGTGTTTCAAAAAAATTTGGAACCTCTTCTGTTGGTGTGGCCGGCTTTCCGGGTCCACTGGTGGAACCTCTTCTAATCGGTTCGGTGGATTTGACGAACCGGTTCTACCGAATAGGTGCGAACTGGTAGGAACCCACCTCGGGGCCCGAGGTCAAACACAATCCTAATGCATCCCTCAATGAAATTGAGTATGACACCCCTCTTTTATATTTATGCCAGGGTTACACAGTTGACGTTCTGTCTAGACTATTGCTAGTTTCTCATTCTACCTTATAGCCCTAGTATTCTCTGCAGGTCTCTCATCCAAGTCCTAATCTTTCTTAGCTTCTCAAAACAAGCGAGTGTCTCATGATCAACTTAGGCATTTCTAAATAAACCAAATTTGGTAGAAACATCACAAGTCTCCAGTACGAGAAGAGAGTGGAGACCACAGCTCCAAAGGAAACTGAAATCAGAGTAGAGCAACCTTATCCCTCAACTGGACAATAATATTTAATCGCATATTTTTTCTTATTTTACTACATTGCACCTACCTTTGCAGAGAATGGCCAAGATTGCTGCCAAAGAAAGAAAGAGTTTCTTTCTCTTACAAGGAGGAAGACTTATCCAGCCAGCGGCCTGATTTTCTGGCATCTTGTTTTATCTTGATATTTATTTGGAAGGATGAGCTCTATAATAGGAAGAGAAGCAGTGTGATCTGGTGTGCTTACAAGAAGCAAAAAAAAATGTTTGCAACTGTCACAGAGATTCCTTTGAAGAATAAGGGCATCCAACGTGTTGGGGTGGAAGGTAGAACTTGTTCGATTACCTTAAGCAGACCACCTCCTAGCCAGAATGGATTAGCCATGCAGGGCTACCTTAACAGAATCCACCTGAAATATTTTGGCAGTAAGTTTGGATAAGTTAAGACTGGCATGTCAAACTTGATTTCATTGAGGGCCGCATCAGGGTTGTGTTTGAGCTTGGGGGCCAGGGTGGGCATAGGCGGGGGGGGGGGATAGCCAGCTTTATGTCACTTGAGTCAGGGGCATCTGTGGTGGCCCAAGTGCTCTGCAAGCGAAAGCAGGCTCCTGTTTGGATGGATGGATGGATGGATGGATGGATGGATGGATGGATGGATNTCATTCTAACCAATATCTGATTCCACTTTTTGTCTCCCTGGGTCTCCTACCCCTTCAGTGTCAACCACTTCATGTCAAGGCTACACAGGTGGAGGACACTGATGTGAGAGACACACTCTCTCTTACTCTTTTTAAACACTTAAACACATCAACAAAAACAAACATGTAAGCTACAACAACACAAGAACTAAATGTTCTTGTTGAGCCTCTCTTTTTCTTTTTCTTTCTTCCTTGAGGCTTATACAATGGGGGTGAGGATAATTTCTCTGCCAGAGATTTTACTAAAACTTTCTGAAGGTTTTTTTTTCAACATTGAAGTATTGGAGGGGTGTTCGAGGAACGCTCCCCACCCTCCCATGTTCTATTTCTAACACACTTTCTGCTGACCTGTGGCCCCGGAGCTCACAGTCACCAAACAGGAACTTTAGCAGATTATCCTCCCACACAAACATAGAGCCTCATTAGGATACGCCGGTTCCGTTTGGAAGGGATGCTATCCCGGGCTCATGGGGGTGATCGGGCCCCCTCTTCCACTCCTAACCAAGTGGGTCTACAATTCTTTTGATACTTCCTGCAGGGATCTTCTTTCTCAGCCGGCGTAATTTTTATTAACTTGTCCTGATCCTGGTCAGATTCTTGGATCAGTGGTGTCCTCTGGATACCCAAGAGAGGTCGTCAGCCCTCTTTCGGAGAAAGGTCTCCATTGGCGCCTGAAGATGGGCGAGATGGCCTTGATGGGGCACCGGTCAGTCCATTCCGTCCTCACTGAAATATCACTCTAAATCCTGCCCAAGGTTGCCAGAATTGTTGCAGAAAATGACAGGCTTTAGACTTCTCAGGTTACAGCAAAGGTTTATTTTGAAGCCAGGTTCAGACAGTTAGTGAAATGGCTAACATTTCAAATTCTGAACAACCTTCATCATCAAAGCACATGTTCTTATACATTCTCAAAAGCAGAGGTGGGTTCCTACCAATTCGCACCTATTCAATAGAAGCGGTTCGTCAAATCTACCGAACCGGTTAGAAGAGGTTCCACCAGTGGACCCGGAAAGCAGGCCACACCTACAGAAGAGGTTCCAAAATTTTTTGAAACCCTCCACTGTTCCTTATATATGATTATTCTACACTATCATGCTCATATATATAAAACTCAGTGCCTCTGTGAAA